TGAAACAATAGCTAGCCTTTATCATTTCGTAGTTTTAATATTTTCCATTCTAATTGCTAGTTAAAATACACTGTTTCAAAGTCCATTTGTTTGAAAAATCATTGGGTTTCCTCACTAGATGGATGTGAAGGTATACCACTACAAAGGAAATAGGAAGAATAATCGGCCAGCACAGCCACAACTCCCTTCCTGTCTAGAGGACTCAGTAGTGTAAGAGTTCCTATTGACCTTCAGTGCTGAGACAGTTATTATCTGGATCCCTTTCCCACTCCAAAATATTTCATGTAGTAGAATGAGCAATGAATTCCCTCTCTATGGCAAGCCAAGATATAGAAGAGGGAAGTGTTACAGGCCTTTTCTTCTCTATACTTTGTATTTGTGGCCTTATCATCATTCTGCCTACAAGAGAAGGTAAAATGAAATAATTCTCATTTCTGAGAAGATCTTGAATTCAATCTATACTTGAATTTACCTAAGTTTTCCAGCATGATATAGAGACATGCTCATACTTAACAAAACTTGAGTTCTTCATCTGGATGAAAACATGATTGTTTATCCACAACAGTCCAGTCAAAATCACTCAATGTGTCATCCCCAGGTGTCTTGTACTCCCTGCTAGGGACTATAACATAAGTTCAAATCTCATGGAATTTACCTTGCTTAGAAAATAAATTAAGTAATTAGATATAAACAGTTAATAACAATAGCTATGAAGGAAAAACACCGGCATCTTGGATGGGAAAATATTAGACAAGGAAGGCATTCTGTGTCAGGCCACTTTTGTGAGGTGATAAAGAGGGAGTTCTTTTCTGGGCTTTGGCCACACATAAGTGGATATGGGACCCAGAAAAGAAGTATTGGTGTTAGAAGATCAGTGAGTGTGTCTTGATCCCACTGATGAGTCAGCAGTGCTGCTATGAGGTAAGATGGAAATCACCTGAAGTTACCTGTTTCTCTCAATCAGAGAACAGGAAATCCCTCAAGTGATATGAGCTTAATCTTTCTTTCTTTCTTTCTTTCTTTCTTTCTTTCTTTCTTTCTTTCTTTCTTTCTTTCTTTCTTTCTTTTGAATTTTTCAAGACAGGTTTTCTCTGTATTGCTTTGGAACCTGTCCTGGAACTCACTCTGTAGACCAGGCTGGCCTCAAACTCACAGAGATCTTAATGCCTCTACCTCCCAAGTGCTGGGATTAAAGGCTTGTTCCCGAAAGCTTAATGTATTTTTGTAATGCTCACATGTGCAAGCTATGAAGAATGGGTTAGTTAGGGGTGTGGGTAGTAGGAAGGAGATTCCTTTGGAGACTGATTGATTGCCAGGCTAGAAAGACACCTCCATCTTCAACAGGGTTAGATTTTTCTGAGGAAAAAAAAAAAAACGAAAAAAGCAAATGAACCAACAAAATGTTGTTTAGAATATTTTCACAAGAACCACAAAGAAGCAAAGTGAAAACTGGATTGATAACAAACTCATTCTGAGGGTGGTGGTGGTATACGCCTTTAATCCCGGCACTCAAGAAGCAGAGAAAGGCAGATATTGTGAGTTCAAGGCCAGCCTGGTCTACAAAGCTGCACCGAGAAACCCTGTCTTGAAAAAACAAACAAACAAACAAACAAACAAACAAACAAAACCCACTCTGAATAAGGGAGATGGTTCAGTAGGAAAAACCCTTACAGCCAAGCCTGGAGACTGGAGTTGGTTCCCAGGTACCACATGAAGAGGAAAGCGCCAGCTTCCTCAGTTGTCCTTTGGCTTCCACAAGCATACCATGGCATTTACGTGTATGCACACATGTATAATAACACAACTTAATTAATTAATGCAATAGCTTTTAAAAATCAGAATATTTAACATATCCCAAAGGAAAATGACACTTTAAGGACAGAGTGGAAGCAGTATAAGCTAGGTTAAAGCCTAATGTGTGTTATAAAATTCTCACATTTATAACTAATCTCATGTCCCATTCTGGGTATCATTTGTTAAAATAAGATATTAAAACAAGGTAAAAAGAAGAATACCTGTTTTAAGGATTTTCAGTTGTAAGTTGCTGAGCCCTGACTGTTGGAAATAATGATATAAGATTTAACTAATGAAATTAAATCAGAAATAGCAATAATTACCTGGTTTCACACGAGGATTCCCTAGGGAGCTTTAAAAGCTAGATGCCTAAGTTCCCCTGAGTGATTCTCATTTAACTGGGCTGAGGTAGATCCTGCCATAGATATTTCGATAAAGTTCCTTGGAGTATTCTAATGAGCCACCAGGACTGAGAGTCCTGAGTTTAGAAGTACAGTTGAGGAATTCACATGGATAAACCTATTTCATTAGTGAAATTCTATCACCAGGAAGTTTAGCATAGATAAACAAGTATTTTAACACAAGAAAACAAAGGCCCATTTTCTTTTGTGGGATTAATTTTTAAGCTTGGAAAATAATGTTATTCTTGTTAAAGAAACATTTAGTTACCAGTGAAGAGCACAGAGGTCCAGACCAGGCTGGTGAAACCCACAGAAACAGCTGACCTGAACATCTGGGAGCTCTTGCTCCCCAGACTGACAGATGGGAAACCAGCATGGGACTGATCCAGACCCCAGGAACATGGGTTT